TAGAGTTTTTTTTTTTTTTTTCATTTTATCTTACCAATCTTGACAGGTTGGCCTTCGTTAATAGTGAAGTTTAGCTGAGATGTTCATTGATCACTTTGGTCTTAGATTTTAGGCTTTTACATTGAATATCTATTTAAAATGAGCATTATATATTGACTTAACCTTTTTTCTTTTTTTTTCATCTTACAACTAGATTTTAGAGACTGCAAAAGGCTCTATAACAGTGGAACTCTTCAAGGATAGTTCCCCTGAAGTTGTTGATCAATTCCTTGACTTATGGTGAGTGCTGGAATCATTGTGAGTATTACTTAGAATGATGGATTTTCTAAATTCCATGTGGTTAATATTTGAACTGGAACAAAGGATGTAGATAGAGCCGCTTATATCCTACTTTATGAAAGAGTCAAGAACAGTGCTTTGAATCATTTTCTTTATTTCCAAAGTGTAGAATGTAATCTTGCAGAAATGTCATCTGTTTTGGCTTGATGATGTTGATTTTGTTGGTTGAGCATACTGGGTCATGCCTACCAAGAAGGCATGATGTTTGTCAATATTGTTTTAATTCTACGCTTCATGCTCAGAGTTTGGCCTAAACCGGGTGAATTCATTTAAAGGAATTGATGTAGGAGGCTCCATCTACTTTGGGTTCAGTGATAAATTAAGTTTAGCTATTTATTTATTGTTTTACATGGCATCCTTGGGCATAAAACAGTTTACAATTCCCGTGTATTTATACTTTCAAATAGTTGGTATGGTTGATGGATGTGCAAAATTGCATGGTTTGTTGACCATGGAATAGGCAGGCAGGCAGCCAGACACCTCTTGGAAGTTCTGGGCTTTTCTTTTTTTTTTTTAATATATATTGTCTTCCCTTTCTCTTTCTTAACATGGTGTGCAACTGAATCCCATTAACCCTTGCAAAATAACATGTGTCTTCCAAAGTCATCCTTAACGTAAATTCAATTGATGTGCAGTCAGAGAGGGCACTTCGATGGAATGCTTTTTCGCCATGTGATAAAGCACTATGTGATTCAGGCTGGGGATAGTGATAAGCTGGGCGCTACAGAGGATTGGACTTTGAAAGGAAAGCATTACAGCCAACTCGATACCAGGTTCTACATTGAACTTATATTGCCCCCATTCCTTCTCCTTCGTTAATTTACCATTCTGTCAAAGGCTAGGTAGTAGATGCTTTTAGTATATTTGTATCTTAAATTCTCTAATGTTGAACCAGTTTGAAGCATGAAGCATTCATGCTCGGAACTTCTAAGGCAAAGCATGATAAAAGAGGATTTGAGCTATTCATTACAACTGCACCAATCCCAGATCTAAATGAGAAGCTTATTGTCTTCGGGAAGGTCGCTAAGGGAGAGGATGTTGTTCAGGTAACAAGCAAACTTCAGTTTCTTTCAATTTAAGTGTTTCTGTTGACCTTTGTTCATATTTGGTTACTAAGGACATAGCTAAGCTGGACTCGTGGTTGGACATATTTAACATATTTTCCTATGATCCTTCCTTTCATGTGGTTGTCATTTTCACATACTTTACCAATTGTCTTATCTGGATAAGGTGTAATAATGCATGCCAAGTTGGATGAGACAGAGATGTGATGATATTTTCTTTCTTTAGTTATGTATACTTAAGAAGTTGCACATTCCATTAATATGAATTGTGTTTCCATGCAATATTTTGCCCAGGAAATTGAAGAGGTGGATACAGATGAGCATTTTCGACCTAAATCTAACATCGGGATCCACCGTGTGACTCTGAAGCAAAGTATCTAGAAGTCAAACACAACCAAACAAGTTCTCTACGTTGCATGTCCTGTCATTCCAAAGTTTCAGCACCATCAGTCAAACTTGTCCGAAGACTATACTGAAATTTTTTTGTACTTCATATCTCATTGGGGCTGGTATTGCTCAAGGTCTGTAGGCCTCATTCCTCGGAATGAGTCCGGTTCCACCTTTGGTTATCCATTTTTACTAACCTACTACTATTGTCTATCTTTTTTCTGGAGTATCTGTTTCTAATTCTTTTTCATACACTCGTGGACATTGTATTTGTATGCAGTGTAATGAAGTAGATGAGATGTAACTTAAAGTCCGATAGAGAAATTGAGAAGGTGTTTGTAATTTCTGAGAATGATCTACTATGGTCACTGCCATTGCTGTTCCTTTTTCTTACCTTATCGTTTGAGCCTGAAGTCATGGTGCTCATTTACATATCAAGTTTTTGGTTTGTGTATGCAAAAATTTTCTTTGTAAGTCTGGCAATTTTCCCACGGTGTTCCCCTTAGAAAAGGGAACTACTTAAAACATTCTTGAACCAGAGACTTAAAAGAGTTGCAGTCCGCAGAGTATACTTGAAGCACTAACCCAAGAAACAGAAATTCCAAATTATCCAAATAATTGTAGGTTTGGTACAGCTTCCGATTACAATTATTACTCAGGGGCAAACATTTGCAAGCAAGTCCTGAAGGTCTTGGCTTAGTTGAAAACCATCTTCCTCCAACCGTCGACGCATGTCAGGAGCCAATTTACCAGCTGCTACATAAGTTTTCAGCAACAAATGGTAGGCATTGGAATCGAGACCATTTTTACTCTTCAGAACCCTGCAGAACTCTTCAGCAGCATCAACATTGCGCTCTTTCACGAAATAATCAAAAAACGCAGTTATGGTTTCAGGAGCCGGACGCAGTCGCCCATCTCAGAAACAACTGCTTCCATATGTTGCAGAGCCAAGTCAAATTGACATTTCTCTAAGAAGTAAACCATGAACAACTCCCGAAGCTTGTGAAAAGGACCTTTACTTCTCTTCATAGCATTACCCAGAACAAGTTCAGCTTCCTCAAGCAGGTCCCCTGATAGATAACCCCGGATAGTACTGGTTGCCAACCTAATATCATAAGCAGAGCAACTAGACTCCCACTCGTCAAAGCATTTCTTCAACCCCTCCAAATCCTTTAGTTTAGCAAGGGCCTGAACCATAACAAGATAGCTCATGTTGGTAACGGTGGAAAAGGCTCCTTTCAGAGCTTCCCACACTCGATGAACCTCAGCCAGATTCGAAGTACCAGCATACAAACTAATCAGAAAATGGTAAGCCTCGCGCTGACGAGGCATCATATCTTTCTCTAGCTTCTTAAGACATGCCTCGGCTTTCTCAAACAGCCCAGCCTTGACATAGATTGCAGCCAGATTGTTATACGTTGTCCAAGTACACTTATCTTCACTATCCTGTGCCAACTCCTCCAAAACCCTCTCGACTCCCTCGATGTCATTTAAATTCGCATAGCTTTGCATCCAGACAACATAAGTAAAGCGACAGCGGGGAATATTTCTGCGCTTCAACTCATCAACAAGTTCCGGCACTTTCTCGGGTTGCCCCAATCTCATGTACAGGCACATGAGATTGTTGAATGGTAAGGTATTGTTAGTGAACCTCAATTCATCCATTTTCTGAAAGAGAGATGAAGCCTTGTCCTTCATAAGATTATTGCAATAGCAATTCAAAAGAGCTCCATAGGTTAATTGATTCCTGGCACTGGGTGGCAAGGCGCCTAAGTAATTTCAGCTGCATCAATTCCCTGGTTTTGCTATAAGATCTAAACGTATAGCATGGTCCACGGGATAATGCATATTCCTCCTCTCCATCCAATCCATTATCTACATTTAATGACAATTAAACAGATAAAATACTTTTTTAAAAAAAAAAAAAACTCTAAACAAATCAAATCGAGAAATGTGTGTATGTCAAAACAGGAAAATAAAGGATTTAAGGGCGTACGTCAAGGGCTGCTGGTAACGACGGTACTTGCGGAGCTCTTGACACAGCGGCCTAGCTCATCTTTCCTGATCTGTTTGCCCTCCATAATGAAATCGTTTAACGCCTCTGACACCGTTCCCCCCGTCGCTGCTAAAGCTGACAGCCTCGGATACAGCCTATTTCTCATCGGAGACGCCGCCTCAACCGCCGCCATCGTCTTCGCCTTCTCGGAGGCTTCCGTGCAAAGCTTTCTCACCAGCCATGATCCCGATGAAATCAGACGCCTATAGTTCATCTCTCTCTGCTTCGCTCTTTTTGCAGTATCCGCTGCTAGGGGTTTTGTTCGGGTTTAAGGCTTTCTCGCATAATACTCCCTAAAATCTAGAAGTACTCCAAACGACGACGTTCCATTCATTTTCATCTTTCATCAAGACGCAGCGTTTTATTGGAGTATCTAGAGCTTTTGAACCCAACACAAAAAAAGGTCGTGAACGAAAATGAAGCCTCTGGCTCAGGCTCTCCATGGTCCTCCGCAAACAATCGTGTTTTCATGTCCTATTTACCTTCTTCCTCCCTCTCACTCCATATCTCTACTGCAAAATCGAGAATTTCGCGTATCTTCTGCTCCTCCAAACGGTGCGTTTCCGTTCATCTACGGACTGCTCCACCTCCACTCTATCTATTCTAAAAATTGAAAGCTTTAATAAATTTCCTTTCAGATAGAAGAGAAAGGTCAAAGCCGGACTACAGCCAGGTTTGGACCATTTTTCATGAATTCTTTTCGTAACAAATTGGTAAGGTAAGTTTTGACCTTATTTGCAAAAGATTATTTGAGCCTTCGCTTTATTTTCTTGTAAATTATACTACTATATGACCAATGAGCAATATTTGTTGGGTTTCTTTCTAAGGGGTATCACGGAAGTTGGTGTGTCTGCCAAGCCTGGGTATGATGGACTGATTGAATTGGCGAAAGCCTTTGATGAACAGCAGAAGCAATTCTCATACCAAGATGCTGCGGTGTTCTAATTAAACTCTTATCCTCTTGTTCCTCATCACCATTTTGATCTTCCTTTTTTTTTTAAATCTTGTTTTTATATTGAGTGATTGTTATAATGTTTGAACATGACAGGTCGAATATTGAAGTCACTATTTCCGCCATTTTGTAGCTTACAAAATCCTTATAGCGCCTATAGATGGAGGGAAGGTAGCTGCAATGATGGTTGGTAAGTTGAATGAATCTTCAAGGAATTGGGAGAGTTTCAAATAGTACTTGATTTTAAGATGCGTGGTTAATAGATTATTACGATATTAAATGCAAGTAATATTTCTGTCTTTGGTTAGCAAGGGTGACTGTGCTTACTTGTCAATGGCTTATGGGCACATCTACGGTTAATTCTTGTGATCTTCCTGATGGGACCTCTTGCAGTAGCGGGGTAAACTTTGATTTCAGATAACGTTTAATGTCAACAAAATGAGCTCATTTTCATGAATAGACGACAGCTGGGTTCTGTCTTCAATTATCTGCAGGTTTTGTAGAGAGATGTAAGTACTTAGAGGAAAGTAAGTGTGTAGGAATTTGTATCAATACCTGCAAGCTTCCAACACAGGTGAGTATTTACAATGATGGCATTGTACAGCTTACCTGCAACCTAGGTGCCTTAACTTTGAGTTCTCGCAATCTGGTTTTGCAGAGTTTCTTCAAGGATTATGGGGGTCTTTGGTGATGGAGCCAAACTCAGCGACTATAGCTGTCAGGTAAACCCAGGGTCATTGCCCAGTTCTTTCTTCCTAAAACTTTGATCTAATGAATTGCATTTGACCCTCCCGAACTCATTTTGAAATCAGTTTGAGTCATCCGATATCTAATCTGACCCTTCTTGTTCATCCCCTTTTACTTTAAATATTTACAATCACCATCTGCAGTGACGAATCGAAAGCAGGATTAACAAACTAGATTTTTACTTGAACAAGTTGCCAGATTTTCCGTTACCGGCAACAGTAATACTGTGAATATTCTTGTCATTGCCACGGCATATCGTCGCTGCCACTATCGCACGGTCTTTGCTGGTTTAAAAAAAACATTTATCATAGTAACCATTAGCCAGTATTAAGTTCTGATGATTCTGCTTTGACTTTGATATGGCAGTTTAAATTCGGGGTCTTCCCTCCATTGCCGGAGAATGATGCTGCCCTTAAGGAGCCTTGCCTGGATATATGCCCAATTGCTAATAAACGAAGGGAAATTCAAAGGAACATGGATGTGATGAAATGTCCAAAGGCATAAACTGTGCGTAAAATCTTGATTAAGGTTTCCAACTTCGATGGCATTGTACTTCCCAAAATCACGTATGGTCAATATATAAAGGTTTCTGGTTTTTATCTCATTCTGCAATCTATTGAGCTAGTTAACCATGCATTGGGAATAAACGTGAAATGCCATAGACACACTGGGCTCTTGCAAACACACCATAGGCATCAGAGGTCCAGGTAAAGCGAGAGAGAGGATACAGAGTCACAGCCATAATCCATTCCAGAATTTCATTATAGCAAAATTGGCCTAGAACTGCATACAATTTCTATCCCTTAATCGCTTAAAGGGTAAATTCAGAAGCTTGTTGGTAGGACAAATTATCATGTGCATGACTAAACCTGACGTGCACTTACTCGAAACCTGATAATGAGGATTGCCAGCAGCGCTGTATTTATAATTGAAGCAAGATGAATACGCATTTCAAGCCGTTCAGCTGATCACAATCTCCAGCCCAGCGACGGGAACTAAGCAACTTCTTGTGCAAGGCTGCTGCTCCTGGCCAACAATTTTCTTCGCTGCATTTCCAAGCTTAAATTAAATAATAGCCTTGGCCAGATGAAACGAAGATCATGAATTGCAACTCGTTAAGTGTACTCCACAAACACCCTCCACTGTCTAGGATCTAAAATGCTCCATAACTGAAGACAGCCTTAAAATCCAAAAACAACCATGCCCTTCAAGAGCTATAAGTCAAATAAAGCATATGTTAGATCCATCAATCATTATTCTTCCTTTTCTTTTCTTTTATCATTCCATTGCCTTTTCTTTGCCATGTTCATAAAGTCATGGAATGGCTTTTAATTTAGTGTCAATGAAAGATGTATTGTGGACCTATTCTTCCAAAAGATTCCGCTGCTATTAAAAATTATTTCGGCTCTATCAACAAGCTATAAGTTCTCCTCAGGTAAAAATAAATGAAATAGAAAGGTTAGAGAACATAAAAAAATGCAGGAAAATTATATTCTTGAACTAAAATATGAAAAGAAAAAGAATTTAGAATTAAACAAAAAGCAGAAAGAGGACTTACTAATCATGATAATTATACAGACAAGATTAATTCAAGATTTGAACACAAAAGGTTCCTGTTTATGTAAAAAGCATCATCCATCAATGTCTAAAGACTAACGGTCCCACCCAGAGGGCCTCCGCCTTTCTCTAGGTCTATCTCTGGAACTGCAAAAACAGAGCCAAGTATGAGCCTAATCAGCATATAAGTTGTATAGGGGGAAGAAAAAAAGCACCCATGAAATGGTATTATAAAAGTTCAGCTGAAAAAGCAACCTCTCTGAGTTCTTCTGGGTAGTGTTTTGTCCAGTATTTTGTGGAGTGTTCAATCCTGATGTAGGAGCAGTGGTCAATGAACTGGCCATCTGAACCCTGTTCATATCTCCACCAATGGTCCCACCAGATACAAATCCAGCCAAAGTTGGTCTCCTGATGCTTGAACTGTTACTGAAGCCTTGACCCTGAGAGGTTGATGAAGCAGCGACAAAGCTACTCCTGAATTGTGCCATCATGCCAGTTTTCAGAGAATTTACAGCGGCAGTTCGACTTTGGACAGCCTGAGATGAAGAAATACCGGATTCTGGATTATATCCAATACCCAGACCATAATCAATTCCACGCACACCTCGACCACCCCCACCCCCACCACCACCCCTTCCTCTGCCTTTCTTCCCACCTACATATTATAGTACACATCATTTGAGAGTTCAAACATAGATTATCTTGAAAAAACTTATAAAAGAATGGCAATTAAAACTCTTTGTCAGACGCTTTACATTTTTTGTTCCTTCCAAAAGCTTAAACAAAGTTTTTCTTGCATACAAACAAGCATATACATAACAAGTACATTGGTAAATCACTAGAGAATCATACCTCCTTTTCTTGCATCACGCTTGGACCTGAATCTTCCATCCTATTTATGGACAAGGCAAATGTCACTACAAAATTATAGCACATGCACATGAAACCTAACAGCTACAGATTTCAATCATGGAGGGAAACTAGGGAAGTGTATACGATAGTGCCATCAGTCATAGAAATTGTTATTGGCAAGCAATCTAGAAGAACATCAAATTGAAGAGCCAAATGATGTTGCATATTGTTTTCTAACAACTTTCATGAAGCCATTAACTACAAAATTAGTGAAGTTTTTCAATTGAATACCTTCATAGCAAGATCCATGAGTTCCATTGAGACATTCTGACCAGCAGCAATCAGACTATTAACCAATTCACCAGCAAACCGAGCCTCCTTCTGAGTTATCAGAGTATAAGCAATGCCATCTTTGTCACCAGCACGACCTGTTCTACCAATACGGTGGACATGCATGTCCATGTCTTTTGCGATATCAAAGTTCACAACTGACTTAATTGACTTGATGTCAAGACCTCGAGCAGCAACATCAGTTGCAATGAGAACATGGTAGATGCCAGATTTAAACTTTTGTAGAATTTCCATTCTAGAAGCCTGATCTTTGTCACCGTGAAGGGCAGCAACCTTAAAACCCTTCTGAGACAGCTGTGATTCAATCTCATCAACAGTAGCTTTCTTGGAAGCAAACACCAAAACATCACCCTCATCAATCATTCCAGGTAGCTTCTCTAAAAGCCAGGGCAACTTCTCAGAATCAGAAGGAATTACATGAACAAGCTGGGTGATATCCTCATTAGCCATTCCCACTTCTCCAACTGTAACCCTGACTGGGTCAGTGAGAATTTCCCTTGCCAATTTCTCAACTTTGCGGGGCATTGTTGCTGAAAATAGTAAGGTCTGTCGGTCAGGTCTGATTTGCCCAACAATGGACCTTATTTGTGGTTCAAATCCAAGGTCAAACATTCGATCAGCCTCATCGAGTACCAAATAAGTTGCTCTCATCATTGTCAGTGCCTTCATTTTTAGCATGTCTATCAACCGACCTGGTGTAGCAACCACTATCTCACATCCTGCCTTGAGTTCCTTGAACTGATCAAGTTTGGACATTCCACCATACACAGCAGAGGCACGTATCCCATAGGCTTTTGCAAATTTTTTTGTTTCCAAGAATATTTGGTGTGCTAATTCTCGAGTAGGTGCACATATTACTCCAATCGGACCCTCCTCTTTCTGAAGTTCAGGCTGATCCATAATGTGGACAATCATTGGAAGCACAAAAGCAGCAGTTTTACCAGAACCAGTTTTTGCTATACCAATAATATCCCTCCCTGAAAGGACAATAGGTAAGGCTTGGCACTGAATGGTGGTAGGCTTTTCATATCCTTGTTTTGCAATAGCACGCATTAATTCTGGTGCAAAACCACAGTCTTCAAATGTCTTAACCGGGCTTGGGACATCAAAACCAGAAACACGAATAGCCAAACTCTTCCGATATTCAGCAACTTCCTGCTCACTCATTCCTAGACAAGGAAATGTTTTAAAGAAAAAAGAGTTTAGGCACAGAATGACCTCAATGAAGAATATAATCCTTTTTTATTAAGAAAAATGTACCACATCCGAAGCAATAACTAATAACAGAGCCATGATGTATATTATCACAATACAATGTCAAAAATCTCCTATGATGCACATTAAAATATTATGAATCTATTATAACATATCTAAATTCCATACTCTGTTCTAATCTTTTCATATAGACTATCCTTTAGAAGTTACTTAGGTAATTAAGCTGCAGGCAAATAAGTGCAAATAGCTGCCCCTAGCGTTATAATATAATCAACCAAGCCATATTCAGAGTTTAAGTAATCTTAAGTAACCAACTAATCTTAACTCCACATGCTTTCATCAACAACCAGAGATACCCCAACATTTTTCCGGTAACCTTATCCAGTAGGCTAGTTTTACTTTTTCCTTTTCTTCTTTTTTAACAAATAATTCTGTTTCTAAACATCTTAGAATTTTTAGAATTATCTAATATTTTTGCGTCTTCAGTTACCTGAAATTGAAGCCTTCTCCTCATAAAAATCTTTATTAAACGGCTCGTACTCAATGGCACTGTGATCAAGAGCCGGAATCGGCTCTATCTTCTTCTTGTCCACAACCACCGGATTATCATCTGAATCATACTCCAACAACCCCGCATCCACAGCCTTTGCCGCCGCATAAACCTCCTCATCTGAATCATACCCCGCACGCAAAGCATCCGCCGCCAACGTCAGCCCAACATCCTTCTTCGCCCTCAAAAAACTCTCCACGGGATCATCCTCATCATCATCATCTCTATACCTCTCCGCCTTCTCCTTCGGTTTCGGAGGCGGCGGCGCTTTCAAATCCTCCTGAATACCTTGCATGAACGCGTCCAGAGGGTCAATTTCGTCATCTTCCGCTCCATTTCCATTGCTGTTGGGGTTATTCTTGTCGGCTTCCTTGGAGGTATCATTGTCGGCGTAATCGATGTTGTCAAGGTCAGTGTCTTCGTAGTTGTCGTGGCCGTGGCGAGAGGAAGGAGGGACGTAGAGTCGCTGAGGAGCTTGGGATCGCTCGAAGTTGTAGGTAGGTTGACGGTTTATCCCAAACCCTTCGAATCCGAATTTGCGCTTCGACATGGTTGATTCTCTTTTCTAAAAACCCTAATTTCACAGGGGTTCTGACGTTTCTTTAAGGGTTTGGAATCAAAAACAACTGTACTTTGTAATTCTAGGAGAAACAAATTGAAATCGTACAGGAGAGAGAGTAAAGAGTTGCGCGCTGGAAATCGATTAGCAATGTTTGGTGTCGTTCGAATGGCGCTCCCAGAGTGGATTGGGCAGGTCGGCCCAGGATCAATCCGGTCGGGTACTTAAAGAGAGTTTAATTTCAGATTGTTGTGGTCTTAGTAGAATCTTGGGCCTTTCACTTAAGCAAACAATAAGGCCCATTGGCTCGCCCAACACAGCGATGTGACACTCGACCCATATGTAGTGGGGAAATGCTCGCTTTTACGGGGAAAATCAATTAAAAATGATTTTTTTAATAATTTTATACAAAAAACAATTAACTAGTGAAATGGTGTTAGGTTTGGGAGGCAGGATCTCTTGTTCGGCTTGCATACATACAGTAGTTTCTTGGTAAGAGGTCACATATAACTCTTTTCAACACAAATTTAGATCTTTTTCATTTTAAGGTATTTTTAAAAATAAAATGTTTTTAAAAATAATTTTTTTATAATTTTAATTATTTTTAATCAAATTAAATAAAATTATTTTTAATAAAATTACAGATCATTATTAGATTGTTACATACCATATACAAAAATATTTAACACGTTATATTAAAAAATATACTATTATTACACATCTAGTATAAAAACATATTACACGTTATGATTAAGTTGTTATACATTATAATTAGGTTGTTACACGTTATATTGAAAAAATAATAATATTATTATATGTCATGTATAAAAAACATATTACATACCATGTTTCAAAAATGTTGTTAATGTTATATTGAAAAAAAAATATTATTGTTACACATGTTAAAAAAATATTATTATTACACGTCATATTTAAAAATATTTTATTACACTACTTAAAATATTGTTATTACTTACGAATCAAAACCTCAAATCCTCTCAACTCTCTTTATTTTTTTTTTTGACAATTTGACATCTATTAAAGTGTTTTTAATATATTTTAAAAAATCAAAACATAAATTTTCTTATCTAAAATATCTATTTTAACTAAAAATTAAAAAAAAATCGTTTGAAAACTTAAATTTATAAATTTTAAAATTTTGAATTTATTAGTGTCTAGGTCTCGAATTGATTCAATTAAAAATTATTTTAAACATTTGTTATCATTTTTACCATTTTAGTTTTATCCAAAATACCTAAAAATGTCATTCTCCAAATAATCATCCATCCAAGCATATCATAATCATCACTTAGTATCTTAAAAGTGTAGGAAAGAGAAATCTGATAACGCGAGAGAGAGAAATCGATAACATAGCAAACAAATGCCGAAGAGAGAAATCGATAAAATTAAAAAGAGTGGGATGATGAATGAGAGAAATCGAAAGCACAAATGAAAATAAATTGTAAATAATTATTTAATTTATTTAAAATAATTTTAAGAATATTTTTATCATGACTAAATATAAATGAAAATAATTAAATTTATTTTAATAGTTATATTTAAAATACTCTAATCAAGAAAAATTATTTTTCATAATTTCTTCTTTTTTTCATATTTTGTGAAAAAGATAATCTTATAATTTCCTTTCATAACGAAGCAATAATTGCATGGATTACATTGATACATATAAATTATAGATTCTAAAACTTAAAAGGGAAAAAAAAGAATAGCAACTTAAATCGATCGATCTGGAACGAGAAAAACATCAGCACATGGGAAAAGCTCCAAATCGTGAAAGGTTCACCTCAAAAGCAGAAACAAGGATCCCGTAAGGAGCGGTAACGTTCTTTCACTTTCTTCCTCAATGCTTTTCTATAAGGTTACCCCCATTTTTCCATTGTCGTACATTTGCAAAACAGCTTTGCAACTTCTCCATTCACCTATCAATCAATCGGAAGATAGAAACCGCTCAGCCTTGTCCCACCATTCACCTCTCTCTCTCTCTCCATCTCTAATGTTTCGTACCTTTTATACTAACTTTCCTTTACAAATCATAAACGCTGCTTAATTTGTTGGTTGTTAAAGCTTGGAAATGGGAAAGCTTCTATATTTTAAATCTGCTCGTGGGTCAAGGCTGACATACAGAAATGTATAGGAAATGTTGGAGAGAGTACCGTTAGGTATAAACGTTCCAGAGTTGGGTGTTAGGTGATGATTATATATATATGGTCCGATGGGCATGATGCCTGTGGAAACCGCCTGACAGACACAATCATTTTTCATGACAGCAAGCGCGTGGTTAGTGGACCAAAAATCATTCCTTGTTCTTTAATGATGAAGGAGATACAATACATTTATAAATACAAGCATCCAGTTTGGTTACTTTGCTAGATCTTTAGTTCAACAACACGAGTTATTTACTTCTTGATGGCTCCCTTAAAGTATACTAGCACTAACATTCTCCTTGGTTAGTACTTGGTTCGAATGACCATGATATCGCTACAAACAATTAAGAACTAAGGTTCAAATTAGTAGATCACGATGATTGAAAATTATCTATCTTATAAATTGATGTCCAGTCATGATGCTTTATATCATAATTTTATATTATCAATAAAAAATTTAATTTTTAAATCTTGAATCTTTAATTTTAAACTTTAAATTATAAATTTTACAATCTAATATGAAAAGATTAAGAGACACGTAATATAAATTTATGAAAAAAAGTACCAAGCGAGACATCAAATGAGAGTAGAAGATCTTTGTTCAATTATGAATATTAATGTAAAACAAAACAAACTATCCTCTTTATAAAATTATGAAACAATATATATAACTTTCAAAAGTATGAAAAACAAATAAAAGAAATAACATTTCAAGATGTCTTAATTCTTATTTTGGTATTTTAAAATAATACTACATATATGCATACCCAAATATTTAGTTTATTAGTTTATACATAATCTCTTATTTAAAAAACAAAAATTGAATCCTTCCTCTCTCGATTATAAAATATATATATATATTATTGAAAGGTTTACTTTTGATTTGTCATCTTATTATATTTATTATGAGATTTTTAAAGGTGACTCAAAAAATACTTAATCATTCGTGTTTCATTATACTTTAAGCTACAATAAAATAAATCAAGCTTTTAATAACTTGTATTCATTAAAAAAAGGTTTGATGGTATAAAAATTTTAAATTAGAAGACTCTCTTAAAAACTTCTAATTATAAAAAAAGTATATAGCATATGATGTATACCCATATAGATAAAATCAACTTGAAATTAAGGAGAAGAAAAAGAAAATGACAAATGCAATCGGGAAAGGGCCCATCCTGCATACGAAATTACTACAGATATGTGGATGGTTGTTGGTCTTGTCATATTTGGTCCTCTCGTTTAAGTAATGCCCATAGACTCGTGTGCATGCCCATGTTATATGATACGTAATCTTCCTCTAAATATTTTCCTGGTTTCCTCTTATTTTCCCAACATGTTGCCGCTACCTTCCAAACTTTTATCAAATGTCATTATCCACCTGATCCAATGTCGTGCTTTGGTGGCAATTAAATTCTGAACCCCCCACCCTCTCCACCCCATTTCAAAGGCTCATGGCCACGCTTCATGCCACGTTTATCCCATTCTTAATAATAATACTAAATTTTGTTACTACTATTTTTAACAATTAATTATTACATATATATAGTTGATTAGCTTTATATTTTATAATTTGGTAAGTTTATTTGAATGTAAAGCTTCCAAAAAATATGACTAGTTTGACCATAACCTCATCAATCTGTATATTTTCGGATTTTGATTTATGCTCCGAAACTATTAAGTGGGTATATAATTATGATCTTTAGCATTTTCATTTGATTGTACCTGATCAACCGTCGACGGGAGGGTAACTGTCACCATCAATCGAACGGCTAGGATTTTGACCGTCTTAGAAGGTAATTTTCACCGGTAGCAGAAGGTCATTTTGGCTGATTAGTGACGTGGTGACGTGCTAGTTTTTTTTTACCGTTATAAGTTCCTTTTCCGCTAACGGCGCACGTTAGACTTAAAATAAAGACTGTATTCAGACATCGAAAAGGGCAAACTAGAAAAAATATATAAATTAAAAAGAACTTGGGAAGAAAAAACAAAAAAGGATGGAAAAAATGTAAATTAAAAAAAAAAAAAAAACCCAAAGGAAAAGCTTCTCTGGTGCTGATTAACTGAGTGAAAGAAAGCCAACGGCATCTTCCAGTTCCACCAACAGTCAAGCTTCTTCTGTGTTTCTTTTGCTTTTTCTCGTTTGGAAACTTGACTGCCTTTTTTTCTTTTTTCTCTTTAAGCTGAAGTTCTTCGACTCAGGAATTCAGTAATGGCAATTCTGCCTCCGAGTCATTTCGTGCGAGTTCTGATTCTTGTTATGTTGTCTCCACCATTGGATCCTCATTTGTTGGCTGTCGCAAATAAGTTATTCTTGTAGTGGTGTTTTATGTGTTCGGAAGTGTTATGCTCATTCGAAACTGTGATCTCGCCGTTGGTTTGTTGGAATCTCACCAGATCTGAGTTGGCCCCTGTTAAAATCAACGGCGTCGGAGATGTCGGTTTTTGCTCTTTCAAATCCCAGTGGTAATTGCTAATTTTATCTTTGTCAAAACTTACTATTTAATTTTCTTTCCGTTTCAGTTAGAAATTTGACTCCTCTCGACTTCCAAGTATGGTTGCTTTGATTAAATCGAGGACTAAGAAACTAAGCTAAATCTTCATATTTCTTTTTTATCCAAGAATAAATATAACCTAGTTAGCTAAAGAGTTGAATTAGGCTGAGTTAAGAAGTATAAATTTCGATTATTTCACTTGTTTCTTCGCATAATTTGAGACCAGAGATACAAGAAAGGAAATCGTTCAATGGCTAATTAAAGCAATTATTTTGCTTTAGCTGGAAATTTCATTCTACTTAAAAGATAATTTTTGGAAAGTTCTTCCTTTTTTCTCTCTTCTTTGATTTTCTGACAAAGTGAAATTGATTGGAGAAAAAGCAAATTACGTTCTTGACATTTTGTTTTACGGGGACCGTGAATTGCCTACTATTTATGTGCTATAATTACCTCTGTGTTTTGGGTAAAAAATGAGAAAAAGAAATACCCTTAAAACAGAGAGAGATAGAGGAGGAAATTGGCTGT